CTCCCCCCTTCTTTTGATAGGAATCAGAAGCAAATTTCAGAAAACACTTGCCCTGTGTTGTCAAAGGGGTGATTTGACTGTTGGAAAAACCATACAAGGAGGGGAATGGTCTCTCATGGGTTTTGCACCTTATAGCCGGAGCTGCATTTATTTCCTATTTTAAAAATAAAAGTAAACCGTGCCTGTATAAATTATGCATACACACATACACACAGTTTGCATATTTATTCTGTTTTTTCCTAGGCATGGAAGGGCACTGAACTCACTCACTACTGTCACTGGGAATCAGATTCAGACAGTGCTCTCTGGCAGTGGCCCACACACACTGAAGCATATCTTCAGAGGCATAAGAGCTATAAATCTGTGAAAGAAAGAAAGAAAGAAAGAAAGAAAGAAAGAAAAGAAAAGAAAGAAAGAAAAGCTGAGAACACAGTAGCACACTTTGCAGTTCTATTGCATCCTTGTGGAACTGCAATGGACAGACTATTGCCTGGTACCACTGGTAACTGACTGAGACCACGTATAGAGCGGTATATACCATATTGGCCTGAATATAAGCTGCACTCGACCATAAGCAGCACCTTTAAAATTCAAGGAGGGGGGAGAGACAATACCCGAATAAAGCCCCTCCCTTAAAATTCCTCAGGCACTCACACCTGTTCCGTTTTACTGTATGTCTGTTCCAGCAGCAATATTGTATAAGCCAATTTTTGTAAGGGCATGATTTTAAGCCACACTTTAACTTTTCACTATCGGAATTTGGGGGGGGGGAGTGAGGCTTATATTCAGGCCAATACGGTAAATGCAATAAATAATAATAATGGCCAGGTGCGACAGTAACCACAATAAATATTCATAAAATGCACTGCTTTTGCTATTTAACCTTGTATACCTCAGGTCTTTTGACCTGGTCATGACTTCCTCCCACTGAAATCTCCAGTCTCCTTTCACCTTACCTGGCAGTGGAGGGGAAAAATCACACCCATAGAAACCTTTTCTGGCACAAGGGGAAATGGGTAATTCATCCCTATGCACCACAAACAGAGGATCGGGGGGGCAGGATCAGGGGGTTCCTACTGTTTATTTTGTACAAGCTATGGGACCCTTACACCATACATTTAAAGCACTCTTAAAGGTAAAGGGACCCCTGACCATTAGGTCCAGTCACAGACGACTCTGGGGTTGCAGTGCTCATCTCGCTTTATTGGCCGAGGGAGCCGGCGTACAGCTTCCGGGTCATGTGGCCAGCATGACTAAGCCGCTTCTAGTGAACCAGAGCAGCGCACGGAAACGCCATTTACCTTCGCGCCGGAGCGGTACCTGTTTATCTACTTGCACTTCGTGCTTTTGAACTGCTAGGTTGGCAGGCACAGGGACCGAGCAACGGGAGCTCACGCCGTCACAGGGATTCGAACCGCCAACCTTCTGATCAGCAAGCCCTAGGCTCAGTGTCCCTTGCACTCTTATACCACTTTAATAGCCATGGAGAATCCTGGGAACTGTAGTTTGCTGAGCACGCTGTAGCTCTGTGAGGTCAGCACCCTTTTTTAAAAAAAACTACAGTTCCCAGCATCACCCATGACTGTTAAAAGTGGTATAAGAGTGTGTTAAATGTATGTTCTCCTGGGAGTTTTTCCAGAATGGTCGGTTTCAGGACCTTGGATAGCTCTAAACAGACACCCCACCCCCCTTTGGCTTAAAAGTTTAACATTCAGTCTGGGGGCAAATTCAGACCGAAAGCATTTATTCATGCAGCACATTGTCAGCCTATGGAACTCCCTGTCACAGGAGGCAGTGATGGCACCAATTCTGATGGCTTTAAAAGAGGATCAGGCAAATTCACGGAGGAGGAGAGGGCTATTAAACTCGGTGAGACTTACTTTTGAGTTGATATGCATGGGCCTTGCATTGTCAGACACTGCACTGCACAATTTCTTGAAGATTCAACTGGGAGACGCATTTTAGTCTCATGTGAATAGTACTATGGTGGATAATACAATGATGTTGATGATGATGTGATATTGTTACCCTTTGATGCATATATAATTGACATCTTTTTCCACATATTTCATAGGGTATCTTTTCTGCCTGTGTGTGGGCTTCCCCCCCCCCCCCTGTAGTTGAAAGCTGCCGCGCTTAATTGCCCTTTGTTTGTTTAATCTTTTTCTCCTCCTTCGGAAAAAAGCCCCGCATCTATAGTTTCTTCCATCCCATGTGAATATTATTTACTTAAGCAAAGCAGTGAACGATGCCTGGAAAATTCAGCTCTTGAAGCGTGCATTTAATTTAAACCCTAACACAGAATGTTAAACTGTGTATTGCACCACTAATGGCTAATCATTAAAACCTATTAATTGAGGTTTAACAGCTGTGTAATAGAGATACACGACGCTCACTCCCTCAGTAAATATGATGTAATATCTGACTGGGATAAAAATGATCCCAAGCGGGGGTGGGGGGGCAGATTCATTGCTGAAAACTAACAGCATAGCTATCCTAATGAGAGACCCATTTCCCTGCTTTTCCCATTTTCTCCGTTCTTTTAAACAAATTGTATTTTAAAATTTGAATATCGCTTCTGAAAAACAATAATAACGGCCCATCACCATCCCAACGGACTTCCAGCCTGCTCCGTGACACAATCTGAAATTTCTCATCCTTACCTTCAAATCTCTCAATGGACCTGCTCCTGCTCACCTTTCCAACCTGTAGCTCAGTCCTGGCGAACACGTTTTGCATGCAAAAAGGTTCCTGGAGGACAAGGAGATCAGCAGTGCTGTGTCGAAACTGGGCCTCCCAATTTCTCACAGGTTTTGTTCCACTACCAAATAAGCTTGCATAGGAAGATCGGAAGCTGCCTGGTTTGGAATCAGACTCATTGGTCTGTCTGAGTCAGTATTGCCCACACTGGCTGGCAGCAGCTCTCCAAGGTTTCAGGCAGGAATCTCTCCCAGCCCTCCCTGAGGATGCCGGGCATTGAATATGGGACCTTCTGCATGCAAAATAGCCGCTCAGCCTCTGAGCTATAGTCCTTCCATTGTCCTTCCATTTTTCAGCCCTGCTCTCACTTCAGTATTTCTTTGGAATCTTTGTGGGTGCAAGGTTTGGTGCTTCCCTTAGCCCTGTAAGCTGGGCTGGGTATGCATGTCTTTCCTTCCAACAAACATTTCCCCAGCACTCTGTTTTCCTGGCTGCCTGTGTTTCCTGATATCCTTCCCATGGGCAGAGTTCACCTCGCAGTGTCTTACCCTGGGCTTGCACTGAAGTGTGGACACCCAGGAAGGCTGCAGAGTGCAGGCCACTGGCAATGAGGTTTCCACCATAAAAGAGAAGGTGCTCACAAGCCACCGTCCACCATGTCAAAGTCAGTCAAGCCCTACACCCCACCCCATGAGACTTTCACCAAAATTCCATCTCTCCTTTGTTAATTTTCAGATGAGATTTCTGTTCTCATTAACCAATAGTGAATGAACTAAAATTCTGGATGTCTGCAAAGAGAGAAGAGGAGACTGTTCAGTAAGGTTCAACTGCAGTGCAGAACTCCACTCAAAGGAGTTCAGACACGCAGAATCAACACACAAGGTTTGCAACAGAAGCTTTCTTTCAATGGGCTCAGTTCACACATTCTCCAGGAATTACTGAGTGCATCAAGATGATTGACAAATCCCTGTCCATCAGCTGGTGAGCAACCAAGTGATGGCTTCCCTGCAGTTATCCCAGAACTTTTGCATGTCCTCCCCAACATGTGCTTTCCAGTGGATGGAATTAGCTGCCAGCGAGAGAGAAATCAAGCATGTGTGAATCAAACCATTGTGTGAATGAAATATCAAGTGGTGTGTGTGTGTGTGTGTGTGTGTGTGTGTGTGTGTGTGTTTATCAGCCCTGGGCTTTTAGGCAGAAGCCTTGGGACTTTCTGTACTCTGTAGCCTTGACTTAATAGGGAAACTGAATTTTGCCATTCCATGTTCTCAAGGTAGCTACATCCTTCCCTGTTGAGAACAGTCCTCTGCCTGGCAGTGAAGGGCAGTTGCCTTCCTTTGCCTGTGACCTCTTTGTCCACATTTAATATGTCTTGCTATAAATCTGCACATTGGGAGGACAAATTAATACCTTGAAGGTTGCTGCTGGTGGTTGTTTTTTTTCTAAGTTGCCACAATCAGGGCAAAGCAAGTTAAAGGGATGTCCCTGTGAATCATGCTGCCCCTAAGCCCTCTTCACAGCTTAGGGTCCCTTTTTTATTGTGCATTTGTCATGATTTGTGAAAATGATGGTATCAGGGCTGTTATATGCGATTCCAGACTGCTTGTACCTGTGAAACCTTCAGGGAAAGACATCTTGCTTCCTTTGCACAGCTCTGGCATCTGCAGGTAGAGCTGGTGTTGTTGGAATGCTGGAGAGCCACTCCCAGTCAGATTAGATCAGGGGTCAGCAACCTAAGGCCCATGCGCCACAAGCGGCCCATGGGGGTCGTTTAACTGGCCCACAAGCCACCCCTGAACCGAGCTGCCTGCTCAGCGAGTCCCCACACGCTGCGCTAAACCGCGCGAGGACTCAATTCTGCGGTGTCAAAAATTGTGTCTGCACGAGCACAGACACCGGAGATCATGTCTGTGCAGACACAGATGCCAGAAATCACATCTGCGCAGGCGCAGGCACTGGAAATCGCGGGTGCGCTTGGGAGCGTGCACATTCTGGCCCACAGAGGGATCTCCGCTGGGGTGAACTGGCCCAGGCGAGGTAAACATTGCCGACCTCTGGATTAGATAATACTGAGCTATATGGATCAATTTTCTCACTTGGTATAGCGTCCTATGCTACCCTGGTCCTATCTCCTCATGCTATCCTGTCCCTACCTGCACCCCACTCGTGTGAACTCTGATGAACCTCCATTGACTATCCTCCAAACTAAGCCTCCCGGAGGAAGCATCACTAAAGTGGTGCCAGAGGCCTCCCGAAGCTGCCTTCGTTGCTGACGCCGTCTCTTTCTCTTAAATCCTTAGAAAATGAGTTCCGAGGCAAACTGCTGAGTCAAAGGTGGACCCGTGGAGAAAAGATCAGCAGTTGCGAGACAGCCAAAGGCCTCCACAGCAGGCACATCAAGGTGAGGTCCTCCTTAGAGGGAAGCATCAGTAAACTCACAAAGCCAAGATACTAACACCCTGGTCTTGCTGTGCATTAATTACCAGGAGCACCAGCTGACAATGGGGGTGGGGTTTTCCCCAGAAATAAGACATTCATTGAAGTGTTTGCTTGTTGAATTTGTATCCCATTCTTCCACCAAATGGTGCTCAAAGAAGTGAAATATGATTTTAAAAAAATACAATAAAATGCAATGATGCAGGAATAAGATGGGTTTGCCAGTGACTATGAACCAGGGAGGGGGAGCTTCGAGGTTCCAGAGACATCTCGCTGGTTGTTTTCAAAGACGATGCTGGACTAGGAGGACTTGGTCTGATTCCACAGGCAATTGGTAATGCTCACACACAATAAACACTGCATTGTCACTCTTTCTTGAACTTTTCAACAGTCCAGAGAGGAAGTTGCAATCCCCAATGCATTGACCTGGGACCAAGTCCCACCACAGCTGTCAAAGTTTCCCTTTTTTTAAGGAAAATTCCCTTATTCCGAATAGGATTCCTCGCAAGAAAAGGGAAAAGTTGACAGCTATGAGTCCCACTGAACTCCAAAGGGCTGGTCTCTGAATTACCGTGTGCATTATTGCACTGTCAATAAGGCTCCTCCTCAACCCAGACTAAACTTGCCTCACTTTGATACTGGTGTCCATTCTTCCTCTGCTCACCTGCCCCATGAACTGAATAGCCCTTACCGGGGGGGGTTGCATGAATTCACACACTTAAATATATATATATAGATAGATAGATTTAAAGGAAAGCGGTACAATGAAAATATTGCACAACTACAACTGTTATTTAGTTTTGATTCTCAAAGGAGAAATAAAATTAAAGGACCCTGTATCTCTCCCCCCCCCAACCCCCCAGGGAACAAAAAGCAGAGGGATCAATATTTTGAGCAGGAAGAGAAGGTGTTCAGTAGCACCTCCCCTTTTACCATTCTTCCACTCCCAGTTGCAGCCTCTGAGTGCTCACCTACACTTATGGTTGTGCTATGCCTAGAAGCCACAGGTCCAAGCAGTCTTCCACTTGACCCATACTTTCTGGGCATGGGTCCAAGTGGTTTCCCCCTTGCCCCACTTCTTTCCCAGGGAAAACCCACTCTTTAGCAACAGATCGGAACAAATGGCAATTCAGGGAAACTCCAAATTGCCTGCTTGCTCTGAATGAGCAGTAGAGAGTGCTAAAAAGGGGAAAGCAGCAGGGGAAGAGGAATGGTGGATAATCCTTAAGGCTAGTTATTGAGAGAGAGAGAGAGAGAGAGAGAGAGAGAGAGAGAGAGAGAGAGAGAGAGAGAGAGAAGAGACTGAGATTGCTTCCAGGCAACCTATTTATTTCACATTGGACCTGATTTGCTTGCACAAAGTTTTCCTGGAAGGTAATATGATGCCCATTCTATATTGAGCATCCATTCCGATTGGTTTGCTGGAAGGTTATACAATATTGCATCTAGCAATTGTGATCCCACAGTTTCTATTGCATTTCCCTGTCACTTTCCTTCCTGCAAACAGTCAGGGGGCTTTTCTTTTCTTTTTGGAATCGGGTCTGCCGTGCGAGGATCTCGAATCTGCTTTAATTGTGCAGCCTAAATTTGCTGATATGCAGTTGAATCCCACCAGCAAAAGAAAGTAAGTGGTCTGACTCTGGCTCTCCCCACCACCGCGTTTCATCTAGCTTGGCCCTAACATTGCTTGAGGCCCTGCATTTACGCTTGGCTCGGGGAGACTGTTTGCAAACTCCCTAAGGCCATAACCAAAGGTAATTTGCTTCCAAAATAGGTTTATTCACCAGTAAAAAGAGAGATAATAAATATCAGCAAGACAAACCCGCGAGCTAAGGAACTAACATAAAAGGTCTAAGATACAGACTTGTCAGAAAGAGACTCCTGACAGGCCAGGTGAAAGGCGAAGTCTTTTGGAAGAGCTAAATGAATTCCTTCATTCATTCCTTCATTCATTAGCAAAGCAACCCTAATTAGAAGTCTCGGTGAAAGGAAAGCAAGTTTTAAAAAGAGAGTGGGTGTTGTTGTGTTAACACAGGAGGGTATTTAAGGAAAGCGACCCAGCTGCAACTTTTTGAAAAGGAGGAAAAGGGAAAGGCGGAACTGTCAAAAGTTCAGGCTAAAGTCTCTTGCCAGAAGATTAGGAGGCTTTTATGAAGGGATACTTCCGGTCTTATCTTGGTCCTCCTGAAACACGGAGCCCTGTGTCCCCCTGGTAACAAGGCATCATCTTGTGGTAGTTAAAACAGGCTCAGTGTAAGACAGCTGAGCCAGCCTGTATCTAAAGACCTGCTGCCAGTTACAGAGGAGAAACCAAACAGGGTGGTTGTTCAGCCTGCCAGAATCCAAACCCTGAAAGGTCTCCTGTTACTTTAAGAGCTGCTGAGGAAGGCCACGCATGGACAGGTGTGGCTTTTGCTCCTCACAGGGCTGCATTGACAGGGGAAGTTGCACCTGGTGGGGTTTTCCCACTCTCTTCTGTGCAGCTCTTAAAGGTACAGAGGCTTCTGGGGGCCTAGTTTCCGTAGAGCTCTCGTTGGGACATTAAGGTTGGTTTATCAACCTAAATGGTGATGATGCTGTCTAGTCACCAATAGTGGGCCCAATGGCGAAGAAGGCTATTTCTGCATGTGCTGTAGAGGGAAGTGAGGGGCAGATGGGGCTTGTCAACCTGGGAAGCCAGCCTATCTAGGATAATAATAATAATAATAATAATAATAATAATAATAATAATAATTTATTATTTATACCCCGCCCATCTGGCTGGGTTTCCCCAGCCACTCTGGGCAGCTTCCAACAGAATATTAAAATACAATAACCTATTAAACATTAAAAGCTTCCCTAAACAGGGCTGCCTTCAGATGTCTCCTAAAAGTCTGGTAGCTGTTTTTCTCTTTGACGTCTGATGGGAGGGTGTTCCACAGGGCGGGTGCCACTACCGAGAAGGCCCTCAGCCTGGTTCCCTGTAACTTGGCTTCTCACAGTGAGGGAACAGCCAGAAGGCCCTCAGTGCTGGACCTCAGCGTCCGGGCAGAACGATGGGGATGGAGACGCTCCTTCAGGTATACTGGACCGAAGTAAAACTCTGGTCCTAAACCTCCACTGCCTTATGGGACATCTTTGGGAGAAGAAAAGACCAAGGAGTAAACCTTACACAAATCTGGAGTGTAGTAGCCTTGCGACCTCCTTCTGGCAACTCCAGCAGCCAAACTGGTACCCAATGTCTTGCTCTGCTTTCCTTTGAATTTTTATTCAGTTTTCTTTTTCATTCATTACATACATCTCATATCCATAACATTTACTACGCATTCCTCCCTCCCCTCCTAGGCTTCCCCCAACTTCCGCTTCCGGTTTGTTTCTCCTTTCACCCAACTTGCTACCTCCTAAAAGAAAAAGAACGAATAACATACCGGTATTTATACAATAACATCTAACCTAAAAACATAAAGATGGAAATAAGTACACCGTATTATTTCTCTATCTTCTACACATTTTTAATACTAATGATGCGAATGTTTATTTAAATCATGCCATCAAGTCTATAGACTTTCTTTGTTTCTGCAAATATAATATAAACGGTTCCCATTCTTTTCCAAAGTCACTGTTGTCTTTTTCTCGTAGTCTCTCTGTCATTTTTGCCAGTTCTGCATAGTTCATCGACTTCTCTTGCCATTGTTCTTTAGTTGGTGTTCCTCCAGTCTTCCAGTTTTGTGCAATCAACATTCTCGCAGCTGTAGTGGCCTACATAAATAAAGCCCTCTTTACTTTTGGTATATCTTGGCCTAAGATACCTAGTAGAATGGCTTCTGCTTTCCTTTGGACCACATCAGAGAGGCGGGAGGGGGGTCCTGTCATCTGGACAGCCCAGGACCTCCTTGCACACTGCCCAGGCTTGCACCCCAGGGTGCTGTTAACATGGTGGTTTGGCTTCACTCCAAGAGGCACACGCTGTTGCCTCTCGAGACAGACAGATGCCAATTAAAAAAACAAGGCTAGTCCCTGAATCATCCTGCCAAGTGATGAGGAGAGTTTTGCCACACATGTTCCACCTCCACTATTGGAGGTAGTATGTGTTTGAATGCAAGTTTCCAGGAATCACAACTGGGGAGAGGGCTGGGGAGAGTTCCATTCAGGTCCTGTTTGCGGGCTACTCGTGAGCATCTGGTTGTTCACTGTAGAACAGGATGCCACTGGCTTGATCCAGCAGGGCTTCTCTTATATTCTTTTGTGCATAAAACTTCAGATTTTGTTGTTGTTTAGTCATTTAGTCATGTCCGACTCTTCGTGACCCCATGGACCAGAGCACGCCAGGCACTCCTGTCTTCCACTGCCTCCCGCAGTTCTGTCAAACTCATGCTGGTAGCTTCAAGAACACTTTCCCAACCATCTCATCCTCTGTCGTCCCCTTCTCCTTGTGCCCTCCGTCTTTCCGAACATCAGGGTCTTTTCCAGGGAGTCTTCTCTTCTCATGAGGTGGCCAAAGTATTGGAGCCTCAGCTTCAGGATCTGTCCTTCCAGTGAGCACTCAGGGCTGATTTCCTTCAGAATGGAGAGGTTTGATCTTCTTGCAGTCCATGGAACTCTCAAGAATCTTCTATAGCACCATAATTCAAAAGCATAAATTCTTCGGTGATCAGCCTTCTTTATGGTCTACATCACTACTGGGAAAACCATAGCTTTAACTATACGGACCTTTGTTGGCAAGGTGATGTCTCTGCTTTTTAAGATGCTGTCTAGGTTTGTCATTGCTTTTCTCCCAGAGATCATTCTATTATTTTTGAGATTGCATCCCAGTACAGCTTTCGCCACTCTTTTGTTGACTATGAGGGCCACTCCATTTCTTTTACGGGATTCTTGCCCACAGTAGTAGATATGATGGTCATCCGAACTGAATTCGCCCATTCCCATCCATTTTAGTTCACTGATGCCCAGGATGTCAATATTTATTCTTGCCATCTCATTTTTGGC